GGCGATTTGACAATTACATTGCATATGGTGTAAAATGTAACAAGAAAAGTGTTAGGACTTTTGTTAGTCGGTAATTTTTGGCAAAATGTTGTAACAGTTATAGAGATTCTATCTCTGTAATTTTTGAGTTGATTCTTTCTATAGAAGAAAGCAAGCCTTTTGAGAATGTAATTTCAGAAGGCTGACTTAGTTATTTGATTGGCTCTGTCTATGGAAAGTATTTTTGGGAAGGTAATTGGTTGTTAAGGCTGTTCTTTTAGAAGAAAAAATGGGGAAAGTATGGATTGATTGTTTTTTTGATTATTCGGGGAGTGTGGGTTGCTAGAGAGGAGGTGATGGTCGTGTGTGGTTGAGGGAGAATATAATCTGCAGGAAAAATATGTGCGTAATTGAAGAATTTGGCTTTCGGGAGAAAGTTTTTCGAAGTCGAGTGGCACTCGCTAGACAAAACCACTAAGAGGATTCTACACAGCGACGACGACATCAAGGAGGAAGTCTTTGAGTGTGTAAGACCGATTGGTGATTGTAATTCTTTAAACTTAGTGGATTGTTCACTGTCTGGGCGTGGCCCCGTAGATGTAGGTGTGCGCACCGAACTGCAATTTTATTTTTTGGTGTTCCTTAGTTTTCTCCTGTATTATTTTTGATTCCTGTATGTTTCCATTGACTGTCATTTGATCACTACAAAACTTGATCATTAATTACAGGTGTTGCTAAAAGTGTTGTAACACTCTTTGTAACACCTGCGTGAAAATCAGACGTTACAAAAAGAACATGCATGCCTTTAGAGATACAAACATGTTGTTGCCAATATTTCTTTTTTGAAAAAAAAAAAAAAAAAAAAACCAAGTTGCATCTTTGCATTGTCCTAATGTTGCGTGGGTTTTGCAATTATGTTCTGGCATCATGTAATTAACTAATATTGTTTAGTATAATTTTTTAGCCCGTTTGTTGTATTAATTTAGTTCAGTTTATTTTTTTTAACAATGAGCACAGTTTAAAATGATGTTTGGTAAACATGTAGTTCAAATTATATTCCCCGTTCGAATTGAGTTAAACAATCAAACTTAAAGTTTAGTTCCCCCCTCAAGTTCAACCGTTCAAACAATTTTAAACAGTAAAAAGATGCCCACTCTTTTTGCTTTTCACACTTACTAAGCACAAATTAGAATTTTATTTCATGTTCAAATTAAAACTTTAACTACACATCTAAGCGTCAATTCAAACTACAATTTATAATTTAAAATTTTTTATTTAAATCAATAAAATTCAAACAAATAAATTAAATATAGGATTGTGATTAGGAGTTCAATTTTTTTTAAAACAATAAATTTTGTGTCAGATGCCGCATTCAGTTTACACAACCACCAAATCCTGTTGACTACTCTATATTTCGTGACAAATGTAAATAAGAAACGTCATTAATAATTGAGAAAATGTTAGGAGAGGGAAAGTCTCTTGCCCACCCCGTGTACAAAAAAAATAATAATAATAAAGAATAATTTTCCCGTCTAGACAATTTGCATATATTACCAAGAGGAATTATTTACATAGGTCATCACTGGCCTTTCTAATTATATGTTATTCAACTAATCATATTATGTAAAAAAAAAAAATTACTTTTTTTTCTACTTTAATATTTGAGTTCATTAAAATGATGTGATATAATCAGATTACTTAGATATTATATGAGACACTAAAAACTAAAATGATAATTTGAATCTTAATCAATCCCAATATCATTTATTTGGGAGTCCATTAATGATCTTATCAGCACTTGGAAGGATCCTTCCTTAACTTTGTTATGCAATTTATCTCATCAGTGCTGATAACTTCTCAAGCTCGATTAATTCAAGTATATTTAACCACAATCATTTTACCAAATATATGTGAAATATGGACCACATTAATCAACGGAACACACACACATATATACATATGTGTGTGTATAAAACACATTTTAAATATCCGGCCATCTGTAACCTGTACAGCGGTCACATAAATGGTTAGTTGATATATGACACGTCTCGAATAAATGCCTCAAATACTAGTTGGTTTGAGCTTGTTCATTAATATTTGCACGTGTGCAGCCGCTCGAGATGATTTGGGTAAATGTATGTATTAGTTTTTTTCTTGGCCTATTATTAATATTTATTGTTCATGTAAATCTTCAATTTTAAAGTCATTCTTTTATATTTTTTAAACTCTAAAAATTTGTTAAAAATCTAGATATTAGAAGACAAGTGAAGTGAAAAAATCAAGAGAAAAAAAAAATGCTGCTTTAATAGTATTTAAATATTTCCATTCTCTCTCTACACATAGATCTAGATATAGTCTCAATGTCATTTTAAAAGTATTTTAATGCCTCCGTTTTGACTGAAAAAAGATTAAATATAGTCATTTTGTCCTTTACCATGTGGACTTTCAATAGAGATTGTAACACTCTCGTTCACTTCGCGGATTCGAGTTTTCAATTCGAGTTGAGATGTGACATTTTCTAAGAGCTTTTTACTGTAGTAAAAAAAGTTAAATGTGACATTTTTTGAGAACTTTTTACTGTAAAAACTTAAAACTGAAAACTCGAATCGATGAAATGAACGAGGAATTTTGTTAAAATATAACAAAAAGACCACATGATCACTCTACCTGTTTTTACTAAAATTTTTAATATAAATACATTAAGTGGGCCTAATTCAAAATTTAAAAGACAAAATGAGAGTTTTTAAAGTTCGTTACGTCAAATTTAAAATAATGTTAAAGTTTAAGTTTAAAATAATGTTCAAGTTTAAGAGACATCGATAATAATAATCCAGTGTTTTATGTCGTAGTTGTAAAGGCGCATGCTAGCTAGTGGGCCCTCCATGCCAACTCCATATCTTTGGTCTTGAGAGTTGTATTGCTATAGTTGGCTCTCCACACTACTTCCATAACTATGGGAATGCTAAATTTGAACAAGCGTCTTGAACTTACAATGACTTGAGTTTCAACCCTTTTTGTTGGAAATGGCAACTGCTGTCTCATTATATTAGCTCACTAACAATCTAAAAGTATTTTGATACTCGCACAATTGAACGTGTTTAACAGTTTACTTGACTATCACTTGGCAAAAACACTAATAACGTGATTTAGTTACTATATATCTTTTCGTTATGATTTAGTTATCATAATTTTCTTAGTGATCACCTGATAAGTGATAACCAATGACATCTTCTAATATAAACCACATTCATCCTTTCAAGTGGTAATTTATGAAAGAAAAAGTGAGAAGGAGTGATTCTATTTTCTATCTAATTTTTATAAATTTACTCATGCAGTTAGTA